TTGTTGTTTAGAAAATGCCAGGTGCCAAAGTTGTCCTTTTGGCACTAGTGACATTGTAGTTCCAAGTCATCAGATCTCGTGGTAGCTGATGGCTCAGGTTTCCTGAGGGTCAGGCCTCACACTTCAGCAAGATTTCCCATGTTAATAAAAAGAAATGGTGATGTAGATTTTATTTTATAGAGTTAATACTTTTCCTTTCATAGGCTTACTTGAAATCAGCCTTCATCATATTAATGTGGCCCATCCCAGAAGGAAAAGAGGGAGCAATAAAGGTACATGTCTCAGAAAGAGACTTTGGAAAAACGGGATGCTGCAGAAGGATTTTTGTTGTGCAGTGATAGTAGTCTGCCTTTGCGGTTAATCAGAAGGCACTGCTGCTCATCCTGTTCCTTCTGTTGTGAATTAAATAAAGTACAGCTAAAACTCAACCAAGCAATTTTTGGGGTTGTGGCTGCCCTTTTTATTTATTTATTTATTTTAATCACGGAGTGGGAAGGTACAAGGCCATTCTGCACAACCCTGAGTTGGTAACAATGCTGGTCTGGCAGACTGGGTCACTTAATCAGTTACATGAAAATGGGAAATCATTATGGCATTTATCAATCTCTGGCATCTTTTATCCTTTGTTAACACATATGAATAAGCAAGTCTCTTGGACAGCCCCTGTGCTTGATACTGATAATGGTGGGTTTCTGTGGGTTTTTTTTAATTAGAGGAGTTTCCTAAGTCCAACTGACTTAAGTGACTTCTGTTGTCATTGAATAAATAATCCTTAGCCGCCTGAGTTGTGTTAAATATGATATAAACTTAAATAGTTTGAGTATCCCTTGTGTTTGAGGAATTGTATTGATTTATTGCATAATACTGCCTGCAGCCAATGAGGTAGAACTAAGAAATGTTCATTTTTATAAACCCATTCTATTGAAATGATGATGTTGGGAGAATTCAACACTTGAATTTGTCCTTGACTGTCAAACTTAGAGATGAACTGTTAACCAAACGCAAACAATTGCCAGAAAAGTACTCTTTACCCCCATCACCACCCATTATCCTTCCAATACAGATCATGCTGAATCCTCTTCAGAAAAGATTCAAGTATCATTTCACTGGAAATAAACAAACCAATGTTTTAAACAAGGTAGGGGAAAAAGCAGTTTGATTTTTTTTTTTAATTGCTTTTTTAAGCAACAGATAGATTGCTGCATTTAAATTGTACAGCTTTAACACTTTTCTTTCTGAAACTAAGATTCTTCAGAACTGCAGTTTTTGTGCCTACCGAAGTGTGGACAGACGTCAAGAGACCTTTTGGAGGCAGAAGCATTTTCTCTGGGCCAGGCAATATTTCTCCCTTGCCCAGATCCTTTGGAAAGCGTTATTACAATCTTAGACTGACTCCCTTCATTTCAGAAGTTTTGATTAATTTGCTCTGTTCTCCTTGCAAATGGTTTTGCTGTGTTCCTTACCGCTTGAGCTCAGAGGCTGTACAAAGCTGTGACTTGGGCACATTTTGGCATTGCTGCCTTCATGTGAATGAAAATGTTGGATTCTGCTTGTTAGTATATAAGATGTGCTGAGTCTAAAGGCACTGTTAGTTAGTTTTCTGAGTTAAACTTTTTAATTGACATACAAGGGATGTCCAGTTTACCAGTTGGAAACTGACTCACTTTTAGTATGAATCATCTTCAAAGACTGAGGGTTTTTATCTGAGAATTATCATTGGAACAAGTTCCAATGTGTAGCGCTGCTGTAATACGTGTGGAGCTGTTTTGTAGCAGTTTAGTTGCATGAGTCTGTGTGTTTGGGTTGACAATCTTGGGAAAATGCAAATATATTTGCAGTCTTGATAGTTGCTACTACAGTGCTTTTTAAAATAATGTTACGTATGTTAGTGGGGAAGAGTGTTTGTAGACACAAACGAAATTATTATTTCATAAGCAGACAGGAAAATTATGTTCAAGAGATGAAATTTGTTTTTCACAATAGGTGAACAGCCATTTCTCTAAAAAACTTGTGAAGAAAAGTTTACAGGCAATCCAGTGTCAGATCAGAAAGATATTCCAACAGGGCTTGCTCAAATTAGGGTTGGTGTTTTGTTTTGTTGTTTGGTTTTTTTGGTTGTGTTGGTTTGTTTTTTTTTTTTTCCAATAGTAACTTGGCTAATGGAGTAAAGAAAATACCCATGTGAAATATTTGAAAGACATCAACCTGGAAGGGATGACAAGTATTTCAGAGGACAGGCTTAGAGTTTTTGGCAATCTGGGGAGGGACTGTCAAAAAAACCCCAACAAGTGATGAAATTCAATAGGCAAGTGAAAATCAGTGCAGAAATGAGAAACAGGCCCACGAAACGTGGGAGACTGTGAGCACAGTTCAACAGAAGGTTCTTTGGCTGTTGGGAGTGAGGACAACAGGAACTGCTTCCACTTGCACTAATATTGAAAGAAGTGTTCATCAAAAACTACAGACCGTATTTTTAGGTGTGGAAACTGAAAAATCTTAAAGACGTTAAAATGTAAAATGAGAAGGTGATAGATTCCCCACCTCCTGCGTGGGCTGAGGTCGGGTGCAATGACAGTAAGAACAGAGCTACTGGGAAGAGTTTTCTCAGGAGTGCATTCTTTTTGCTGTACCAAGAAATAAAGACCACACAGAGGAGCAGGAGGAAGTATGCAAAGCAGAAAAGAGGACCTCATGAGAAAGCAGTAGAGAAGGGGGATATAAAAAATGGAGCTTTTGCTTGAGAAGAAACAGAATAATTGGTGCATTTAAGACAATTCAAATCCAGAAATACTTCTCTGATACTGCTCTTTTGAAAATCAAAATTAAGTAAAACAGAGTGAAAGACTTGTGTGATAGGAGATCAAGAGAAGGCAGGGATGGTATTTCTAGAAGTTTGTCTTAAAATATTAGTAGCACTTGAGTAAATGTTGTTTGGATGCATTTAATATTTCCTTTTCCTTTTTAAATAAGCCTGAGTGGTATTTAACACAAGTACTTATGTGGATTGGGAATCACGCAAAGTTCCTTGATGACAAAATCCAGCCAATACTGGACAAGGCAGGATCTTCAGTGAATGCTGGGGTAAGCGCTTTCATGATTTATATATATGAATGTGTGAGTCAGCTTCTGATAGATATTTGTGTCAGCCCACTTGCACTGATGTCACTGAGTATGGGGTGAGACTTAACTCTGTCTAGAAGCAGTTAGGTACATGTTTGCACGTGTCAATGCTTCCTATCGCTGACATTTTACTCACTTTTTTCTTTCAAAAGCTTGAATTCTCTCGTGCTCTAGTAATGCTGATTTTGGAGAAGCTGGCTGCTGATATTCCGTGCCTGTTGTATGATGATACACTCTTTTGTCACCTTGTGGATGAGGTACTTCTATTTGAGAGAGAGTTATACAGCGTTCACGGTTATCTCAGCAGCTTTCCCAGTTGCATGCATATTCTGTCAGAAGAATCCTGCTTCCAAAGGTGGCTAACAGTGGAGAAAAAATGTAAGACTTCCGGTGGATTTTGGCCTTTATATTGTGCAATCAGAAAGTTAATGTATATAGGTACACAAATAGCCTTCTCAAATAGGATAAGTCATTTGGACAGGGCTACTACATAAGACATACATATTTTTTTACTGTGTGATTATTTTGACTAAAAATTGGTTAGGGTCTAATAGTGCTTCTGTAGTTTGTAGGACTCTTGCCCCCAAGAGATTGTCATATGGAATCCATATGCTTATTTTTAGACAAATGTTTTATTTATGTGTGTGCAGACAAGGATGTACTTTAAATTGAAACAGGGGAAGGGTATTAATTTTTGAGAAATTAAGAGGAAATATACTGGAAAAGAGCAAGGCAACTATTAAAAAAACCAAAACAGAACCGCCAATCAACCCCCAATAGCTGTTAACAGCATTGCAAATGCAGGTACATTGAAGCCGGTTTGGTATGAAGCCAGTCATCAGTAGTTTTTATAACTGAAAACGCAGACTCTTACTAGAGAGAAGGCTTATATGTTTATATATTTTAGAGGGGATTTTGTTAGAATTTTTTTTTACTATTAAAAAACAATTTACAAGTTTTGCGCCATCTCAGTTGCTCTTCAGAAAATGGACTCTATGCTTTCATCAGAGGCTGCGTGGATATCACAATACAAAGATATCACTGACGTAGATGAAATGAAAGTCCCAGACTGCGCTGAAACTTTTATGACTCTGTTGTTAGTTATAACAGGTAATTATTAATCGGTGGGCATCGCTCATTTATCATGAATAGTAACATAACCTCAGCTAACCTATTTCTTTAGTAAATATGCATTGTCAGCAGTAGTCATCAAATAATGTTGCAAAGTTGTGATGTCTGCAATTTACTAGAAGCTTTCGTGTTCATTTTGTATTTTGGACACTACCTCAAGCATGAATAATCTTGAGTTAGTGATGTGTTTACAGAGTAATAATTAAAAAAATAAGATTTGATATTTGGCATATTAAAACTCGTTCATACTTGAGAGACTATAATTTGTTACAATACAGTAACAAAAAAAATCTGCTATTCCTTTTGAATCTGTGACAATTTAGAAGCCACTAAGTAACATCTGCTTTCTTGGCACAGAAGTAAGAGCAAGTAAGTTTTCAGGAGACAATTGCATATTCAATGGCTTCGTCTTACTCTGTGCGTGTACGCTTTAGGGGCCGCACTGGATGACGTGATGTAATCACGTATTGCTTCAAGTAATAGAACAAAAAATGCTAGTGAAATCAGCAGGGGGGAGAAGGTCGTTCCTTTACACGTTTAGCCTTTGTATCGAGTAGTTCCCCTGAAATCATTAAAATATGTCAGCTGTTTTAAATCCTGTATAATGTTCTCATAGGCGTGAGGTTGTGCAGTAAGATGTCTGTAAGGTTTCTTTTTGAAAAGCTTTTATTCGGTGTTGGAAAACCTAAAAACGTTTTATTAATGTCTTTCCAGACAGGTATAAGAATCTTCCAACAGCTTCTAGAAAGCTACAGTTCCTGGGCCTACAGAAGGAGTTAGTTGATGATTTCAGGATACGATTAACTCAAGTAATGAAGGAAGAGACTAGAGCTTCCTTAGGATTCCGATACTGTGCAATCCTTAATGCTGTTAACTACATAGCAACAGTGTTGGCTGACTGGGCTGACAATGTAGTAAGTAATTATCTTACTTAAAAAAAATAATTAAAAATGGGCTTTGCATGTTTGTTTCATAACAAACATTTTACTCTCGGCACTGTTTATCTAAGAGTATTCAGAAGAATTAATTACTGAAAAAATAGAATAAGATGTAAATTCAGATTTAATAAAAGATGTATATAGATAAGGACAGATTATTGTTTGAGATCTAAGCTGTATTAATTATAAACTTTCTAGGGAAATGCAAAGAGAGCCTGGGGGATGGAATAATCTGAACAGACAAAAAAGTAGCCTCTTTTACATGCTTTGTATTGTAAAAAAAAACTTAGTGAGTTGATTTTGGAGATCTCTGAGCTGGTGTTAACAGCATCGATGTTGAAGGGCGTGCAGTAGCCTATCTGCGACACTTGAGCTACTCCTGTGGCAGGTGAGCTTCAACGGATTCAGCACGGGTGTCTGCGTTGCAACGTGGTGTAGGTGTTGCTCAGGAAGGCCACTCGCTGATAACTGGGAACTGAGAATGAATTACTTTGCTATATAACAACCTGACAGCAGCTTGGCTTTTCTATGGCACTGTGTGCGAGAGGAGCAGCCTCCACGTTCTTTTTTGGAGGAAACTGTGGCTCTAGCAGAGGATGATCTTGACTTGATAGGGCAGCAGCCTTCAGGTTGTATAGCTGTGTCTGTCTAAGCATCTTGATCTGCTTAAAAGCAAACCCAACAACTTCTTACTGCTATGTCATGTTAATCTCGATCCATTGTCTTGCTGTTGTCAGCCCAGCAAATTTATGATTTAATGAACGATTACTTCTAAAACCACTTAGTTTACTAAAACAATTCTAGTTTACTTTTGCAAACATTAAAAAAATGAAAATCAGTTTGGTTTTTTAAGCATTCTGCTGTCAATCTTAAAATACCTTTTTAGTATTTCTTCAGATCTGTTCCCATTAGCTATCTGCTGTTGTATCTGAAACCCATACCAGTTCCATCACTGGGATTAAACCACCGTGTTTTGTTTTTCAGTACATCAGGACTATGGGGAAAGATAAGAAAGTGTTTTTAAAACCTTAAAATTTTAAGATTTTAAATGTGTCAGGAGAGTGTTTCTAGAACCGTGCCTATTAAAGTACCAATGGAAAGTTCCAATGGTAAGATTATTTTTTGTAGTATTCATATCTGGGTTTGTTTCTCTAGTTCTTCTTGGAGCTACAGCAGGCTGAACTGGAGGTTCATGCAGAAAGTAGTGCTGTCAGTAAACTACAGCTAGGGCAGCTGGCTTCGATGGAGAGTTCTGTCTTTGATGACATGATTAACCTCCTGGAACGCCTGAAACATGACATGCTGACTCGTCAAGTAGATCATGTCTTCAGAGAGGTCAAAGATGCTGCAAAGCTGTACAAGAGAGAGAGGTGATTCTGTCTTTTCTTCTCTTCTTCCCGTATTATGGTATTATTTCCTGTTAAAAATACTGAGGTAAATAAAGGCAGGAATAGCCAATAGGCAAAGTTATTTTCCTGAATAAGAATGGGACAGGGTAGTAGGTTTTGGAAAACTCTCTTAATGCTTGCTTCAAGACTATTTTAGTGCTATATTTCTAAAGTAGTTCCACAATTAGCAGGCATATTATCTTAAAATCCCTAGGAAAAAATCTGGATCCACTCTAGTTTGGACAAGAATTATTTTCCTTATAGTGGCATTAAAGGGTTAATATGAAATGGCCTGTAATGACTGTTCTGTCTTCAGAGACTCATAGGGCTAGAATGTTTGCTCCAGAGTAGAATTTCTGAAGTACTTCACAAAAGGAATACAACAACTCTATGATTTTCTAGATTAGATGGGGTTTCCTTGAATGGCATGTTCAGAGATTTATAACTAAAGCATGAGTTTAATATTGAATGAAACTTAAACATAGCATTAGACTGGGATTACTTTTAGATTTAAAATGGGAAAGGAGAACTCTCTCTGAACTGTTGTAAATGGGTGAGGTTTTTTTTTTAAAGGATAATTTTAACTTCAGTTGTTGTAATATGAATAATTTCATTTTAATGACCTCAGTGCAATATGAATTTCTTTCAGGTGGTTATCTTTACCATCTCAGGCAGAGCAGGCAGTAATGTCTTTATCGAGTACAGCTTGCCCAATGCTGTTGACCCTACGAGACCGCTTGCTACAACTGGAACAGCAGCTCTGTCACTCGCTGTTCAAAATTTTCTGGCAAATGCTTGCAGAGAAAGTGGATATATACATATATCAGGAAGTAGGTGTCAGCAAAATGTGACCTATGCAGTTCAGTGTGGGTGTCAGTGACTGGCATAAACAGTAGATGCACCTCTTTGTGTTTGCAGATAATTATGGCAAATCATTTCAATGAAGGAGGAGCAGCACAACTCCAGTTTGACATGAGTAGAAACCTGTTCCCTTTGTTTTCACACTACTGCAAGAGGCCAGAGAACTACTTCAAGCAGTAAGTAGGCAAACTTTGATATATCGGTGTTTCTGAAGTGAATGTCCAGACAAATGCTTGTGTTTTACACGTCACAGAGATTTTTTTTCACAGTTAGTTGTGATCTACTCTTAGAATACATGGATCATTTATGCTTCCAGTGTTTACAGCCAGGAAAGTTTTGATTCTGCAGCATGTACTTGGATAGCAACGGACTCGGGCATGTGTTCTGGAGTATTTTGTGCAGTCAGGATGTCTAGAGAAATTAACTTCTGGAAGGAATGTAAGTAGCCCAGACTTAAAAAGTGGGGCCAAAGAAACTACTCAAAGATACAGTTAAAACTTACTAGACTTTCTTTATCGTTAGAAGAAGAAAGATGACTTTAACCTATGTTACTGCTCAGAATTGCCTTTCATAGCAGTCTGGTTGCTCTCAGGGATGAGAAGAAGCTGCCTTCTTTGTGGTTAGTCTTTTTTAAATAGCCCACAGTCTTCTAGCGTCCAGTGGTAAACTCCTAGGCTAATTGGGGCAGAAATCTTAAAAGTATTTAAATTAATACGGAGCATGGCATTCACTCTTGAACACTTGAAGACAAAGATTATATACTGGTATTTTTGAATTGGAATATTCATGTACCATCTTCAGGTTTAAGGTTTCTTTTGAGCACATCACCTGCACAAAGGTAACTGATACATACATATTATTCCCAGCCTAAGAGGAAGCAGTGCATAAAGGAACTGTAAAAAATAATGCGTAATAGGGACATGGCTGTGTATCGCATTTAGGCTAGAAACAATGTGACAAAGACAGGGTATCTGTTTGCTCCCTAATGGTATTAATTAGGGAAAACGTTCACATTCTAGCAACTGTGTGTTAAATTGTGCTCTTAAAATATACTGGGTAAGAAACTCCTAATTATCTTAGGGGAGAATGTAGTTAGGGAAAGCTAGAGAGATCATGTGGTAAATTCTAGTCTGTATTTTTAATACTGGTGGAAAAACTTAGGAAGCAAAAGCCATGCTGAGCACTGGGAGGCAAAATACTGATGCTGATGAAGTACACATACATAACGGAAAAGGCTTAGACAGGAAGAACAAATACCCTCTTTGCCTTGATCTAAGCAGTACTTCTCAGTTCAATACTTCGGATCCTTTTCAAAGTCCACACAGGTTTTTTTTTTTCACCACTGTGTGCACAAAATTAGGGGTACCTCACAGGTGCTTCTTGCATTAATCCATGTAACCTTTCCCTCCAGCATAAAAGAAGCCTGCATTATCCTGAACCTGAATATTGGCTCTGCCTTGCTTCTGAAGGATGTACTACAGTCAGCTGCAGAAAATGAAACATTAACGCCAAACCAGCCATCTGCAACAGCAGCACTAAATGAACTTGGAGTTTATAAATTAGCTCAAAAGGATGTTGAAATTCTTCTCAATTTGAGAGCTAGTTGGCCAAATACTGGAAAATAAGATTTCTTTGGAAATGGTTAATAACTTGCTCTAGATTTCTTTGCTTTTTTTGAAATAAGTAAATATGTTGTAATATACTTTTTTTTTTCACTACTGTATGCTGAATGACTGGTTTAATCTGATCTTACGCCTTATTGTACACAGTTTTAAAAAAATTTCAAAACATTACTGACTTGGTTTCAAACTGTGCAGATCTTTATTTTCCATAGCCCCTTTGCCATTGCATTTAGAAGCTAAATCTCTTCATCTCTAATGACTGTGCCTGCCTTGTCAGTGTTGTGGGCTGTAACACCCTTCTAACAAGTACAGAGTATTTACAGTGTAAATACACCTGAGTATAGTATGGACAGCTCTTCCCTGTGACCTGGTCCACCTTCACTTAAACACAGATGTTTTAAACCTCTAAATCCCAGATAATGGATGTTTGGTGTTATAAATGTGTATGAACAGAACCCAGAAAGAAGGAATATGTCACTTTGTTTTCTTTATTTATACTAAGTAAATTTTTTTTTCTTTGCTGTACCCATCTCTTGTACTTCTTGAAGTTTCTACTTAAAAATTGCACAAATGCTGCATTGTATGTTTGAAAATAGCATTTTACCTTTCTTCAACTGTGGACACTTGTCATATTTTGCTGAAGTTGGTCTTTCCTTTAAAAAAAAAATCACTACCACAAGCCCAGTAAACAAAACCAACTTAAGAAATAGCTCAACTCTTGAACTGAATTTTATTCACTGGTAGTGAGCCAACAGGTAACAACCCCTTCCTGTAAGCTACAAAAGAGGAGGAAACTCAAAAACACTTTCAGCGGTCTAAGAGATCTCTACTTTTTTTTTTTTTTTAACCACCTACTTCTTTTAAGAATAGCAATACTCAAATGATACCACTCCAGTGTCTGGTAAACATGAAAAATTTCATTTGTCCTTCGCACCTGCTTGCTCAAATGGGCTGGGAAATGAGAAAAAGAGAGTACTGCTTAAAATCAGCTATCCACAGCTGACAAACCAGAAGAATTGAGCAAAACGCCTTTTTTTAATACATCCAGCAGACCACTGCTCAAACTAATACCCAGCCCAGCTCTCCAGCATCTTTTTCTTCCTAAGACAGAAAAAAAGAATTCTAGTTAGAGTCAAGCTCAACAGGGTCATCTTTCCCGCTGATAACAATGAGGACAATTACATCCAGTTACCTTTCAGTGATTCCAACAGTTACCAAAAAACTTGCCCCTAGAACCATAACTTGACCACAAGAAATTATAACTCTGAGCTTGTTTCATCTACAGCAGTGCTACTACCTTGAGCAAAGATGGCAACACTGCTTCACATTTCTAGATGACTAGAACATCATCTAGATATTCCAACCCCCGGGCTACCTGATGACTGTCTGTCTGACCTGAGGGGTAGGTAATCTGAGAGCTCTGCTTTGAGAGGATCCTGGAACTGAGATGGTGGAGGAAAATGCTGAGTTTGGTTCAGGTTCCAGTAAGCCAAGCAAGGTCGGGCAGTGCAAAGTGAAGGGGTTAAGCTTAAACCAGCAAGTGTTTTAAGGACACAGCTTTGTAAATAAAAATCAAATCTCAGTAAAATATCTCCTGTGCATATTCCCCACCCAAGAAACCCCCTTTCAATTAAACTTACACTTCTTCCTTGAATACGTCCAGTGTGATATTCTCATCATCTCCAAACTGCAGACCTTCAGTGCTCAGTCCCAAAGTTTTAAGAGCTAAAGTTAAGGAAAGAGAATTTCCTATGCAAGTCTTGGAAAGAGTAATTTAACATCTTAAAGTGGCCTAGATATAACAAAAGGTAAACGTATGTAACTTAAAAATATGTAACCTTAAACTTTCCAGGTTCCAGTTTGTGTATTGGCAGATGTGCGGATGCTTTTAAAGTATGCATCTGTGTATCTCTGAAACTATTTTAATAACCCTGTGCAAACAAACACAAACACTTGGGTGTGACCTGCTGCTCAGGCGAGACGCACCTTCTCTGTACTGCGCTGCCGTTATGTGCCCTTGGCCTACAACGTCCAGCAAGCCGAACATGGCGGCCAGGTTGGCCTCGTCCATGAGGTGCGGGTACTCCCCCTCCGCTCGTTTTCCAGCCTTCACCCTTTCCAGCGCCTGGATCAGGAACTCGCGCGGTCTTTCTGCAACGAAGCAGGACAACCAGCTCCTGACCGAGGCCGGCCAAGCCCTTCTCCCCGCCCTGCAGCCCCACCCCCGCTCTCT